AAAAAAAAAAAAAAAAAAAAAAAAAAAAAAAAAAAAAAAAAAAAAAAAAAAAAAAAACAGAGTAAAAATACATGAATATGAGGAAATGAAAGGGAAAAAACATGCCAGCGATGGTAGAGTGGAGGGTACTTGCGTCGCCTCTGCAGTTGTATTGCACACACGTACCCGTGAAAGTGGAGGTGAGAGAGAGCAGGATATTCGTCGCGGGCCGAGGTGGCGAAGGTGATGCAGCGATCACTTATTCATGCTCGGGAGTGCGAAGGAGAGAGGCTCCTTTGAAAGGGGCCGAGGAGAGGGAGAGACGTGCGATGTAAAAAGTCATAAAAATGTACGGGACGAGAGTCGCGCCGCGTGCACGCTGTTGTCCTGGAAAATCTCGCGAAGGTAAGAAAGGGGACTCGAGAGCTTTCGCTCCAGCCATGCGCGAGGTCAGACTCGTGTGACTTGATTTTTTGCGCCTTTTCCCCGCCCCGTTGGGTATACTCCGTGAACCATCTTGTATGGGTACTTTTTTTTACCGCGACTTGATGAAAGTAACAGCTCCGTCTTGGTCTTCTCCTTTCATCTGTTTAAGTGCGCGCACTCCCAAAGCTCGATGTTTTCCATTATTTATACATTTTACGATCCTACGTATGAAATTATGTATACCCATACATGAAAGTCGAGTTACAAAGCCAGTTGTCATCAAATATCGGGTATCATATTTATCCTATTGACACAAAGATGAATAAATTATTGAAAAGTGATTTTTTTTTTTTTTTCTACGAAACATAATCATAATGAGTATTAAAAATATTTTCTACCACGAAAAAAGAATTTAATTTCCTATCAGAATGTTAGTAAAAAAAAAAAAAATGTATTTGCTCACTAACTCATGTTTACTTTTGCTCATAGTTTTTCCACAACTTTCTTTCGCGTTACAAATAGTTGAAAATAAAAAGCTTCGTTTTTTTAAACTGTATATGCAAAAGTTTTATAAAATTTCAATAATCTAGTAATATTGCTATATTAACTTCTTTCATCCCACAAAATTTTGTTGACACAAGCTTATAGTAAACGAATGAAAACAATTTTAATGCAACATCGATTTTCTGAGCAAGTTTTACTCTTTTAAAAACGCAAGGGGCACTCGTATATGGAGCAGACGTGCTTAAAATGATGACCAGGGAAACATTTTTCATCTAAAATTGGAAAAAGCCCTCCCATCAATATTTATTCTCAACCTTACGATTCGAGTTTTATCGAGGAAACATATTTCACTTAAGATTACGTGGCTACGCATAATGTTAGTATACCGTTGTGCCTCGGTATTCTTATTCGTTTATGATTTTTCTTTGTTTTTTTTCGCCCGATTTATTTAGTATTACCAGAGCTAAAAATTGATTACAAGACACATAATATTTTGTAAAAAAAAAAAAAAATGGTGTAATACTTGAAAAAACTAAAAACTTTGTGTCAGTTGAAAACGCACGGTAGGAAATTCGTGAATCAAAAATCCCAGTCCCAGAAAAGCGAGTCGTAAATGCAGTGGCGAATCGACGCCAAGCTAAAGTCACCGATGGCGCCCCGAAAAAAAAAAAAAAAAAAAAAGGGGACACCATATTACGGCAGAGCCAGATAAAGAAGACAATATTGGTATAAGTAACGAGCCGGGCAATAGTCCTCGCGCAGTTTGGCTCGTGTTTTCCTCCCCTCCGGCTGACGTACACCCACTGCACAGCCATACGCGCTACACTTAGGGTTGAGCATAGTACCCACATATACCTCGACAACGACGTGACGGCCCGTAAAGTATCGACCGCGTCGGGGAGCTCACTCCGCAGCGAGGGGGGGAGGCCGATTATCGATTTACGAACGAACGTGTTTCTGGCTGTAGAGACGCTTGTACACCTTATACTTCCTCGCACCACGAGCGAGTGCTTTGAACTTTGGCTCGCGGAGCCCGTCCATTTCCGTCCGCCGCAATAAGCACTTTTTTTTTTTTTTTTTTTTTTTACCGCCAAGAGATAAAGTGCCCCTCGACTCTGACGTGCAATATGTCGTGCGATAAGAACTCCCTCCCCCCCATTCCTATAACGCAAGCGTAATAAGTGTACACTTTTTTGTTTGCTCGCCACAGCGCAATCATTGATTTATTCGTTCCTCGGATGTTTGTTCGAGGGGGGGGGGGGCAAAATTTAAAGAGCTCGAAATGAGAGTGACTGTGGACTGTGGGATATTAAACGATGTTACCATTCGCGTTGGAAATATCGCGGAAACGAGCGACGCACAAAGAAAGAGAGTATTTAATTATCCCGGTCTCCGGCACGATTTCGCGCTTCGTCGTGGCCGTTTGTTTGCTCGGTCCGATTGGCTGCGCGCGGGGGGTTTTATTACGCGGGGTTCGCGCGTGACCGCGTTAAATAATCTCCGCTCCTGTAATCCACGCTCTCCGCGACCATGTACATTATACGCGTGTACAATGCCCATATACGTACATGTGGGTAAAGCGCACCTGTCGACTCCTGTCGTTTGTGGCCCATCGTGGCTTTCGTTTCCTCATACAAATCGCTTCCCTTTATCTGTAGCTCTCGTTGCCCGTGTAACGCGATTTTCAAACCATAAAGTATCATACCATGAGTATCGATCGACTTCTACGCATTTTATTGAAACAATTACACTTTGAGTAACAATGGTTCAAGGTATATATACGTTATATACCCGACGTCTTTATTTGTTTGTACAAAAAAATCACATCGTTTTAAAAACAAAAACACATTATATTGGTACGTGATTGTGCATATAGGTAGGATACCACTGTGGTATATTTAACGCGTGGATGATACCTTCTATCTTGAAAATTCTTCCAAAGCATGCTATCAGCTCCCTGTATTATGAAAAACAGTCGATTTAACTAATTGGGGGTGGGGGACGTTCGAGCTGTACATCGGGTAAGTAATCGATGTGTGTATGATACCAAAAACAAACATCGAAAATGGCACATCCATCAATCACGATAATTGACTTTTGCCTGTAGCTCGATCGGAAGGACAATCACACCATCGCCCATTGAAAGCGTACGTCGATTATGTCACGCTGTGTTATTCCACTTTGCGTTTTCATCCTCTCGAGCATAAAATGTTTCTCCACGACTTACTCTCTCGACTATTGGTTTTCTCGAAACGTAAAGTATAAGTGTAACCCGTCGAGGTGACAATTTGCGCTCGATATAAGGGTACCTACTTGTATGTTAATGTATTATACCCCAGGGGGGGGGTCGCAAACTAATTATAGTGCACGCGATAGGTATAGCCGTTGACCCGGGAGCGTGGCAGCGAGCCGCGCCTTTTGATTAAATGCAAATAAATATCCAACGCGCGGCAGCTGCACCACCTACATACATATTATACATCCGTCTCCTTCTCGCGTTTGCTCTATGTATGCTTGTGGCCACTCACCTCCCTCGCTCTCTATCCCCTATAATACACGGCTTTTCAGCGCCCCGGCCATGCGTGATGCACGTGACGCCCGATTAGCGGCCTACCGCGGCCTGGACGAGTCTCTATTTATACACCTCGTCTATATATGTATGGCACGCCAAGTCTGGCCGAGAAAGTTTGTTGTGTACTCTTATACGTACACGCGATTCCCCCTCGAAATCGCGAACTTTGATTCCTTTTGGACGTACTCGGACGGGCATCACTCGGTATTTCGACCCAAGCTGTTGCTGTATATACCGTGTGTTTCATTTGCTGTATCCATGCGGCCAATATACTCGACTGTGCGTTCCCTTGCTTCGCACGAAATGACACACGATTTCTTTTATCGGTAAATGAAAAGAATGAAATAAACAATAAAATTTTTCCGTCAAGTATATACTTCGGAGCATCTCGTAAAACATCAGGATATGCTCACGCGCGGGAGTCGAAACAACGCAAGCCCTGACACCGATTGCGCGTCTATACATGCGAGTGTTGTTGAGGAAAAAAACAGTATAACCGATGCCAAGAAGGAAAATCCATGTTTTTTCCCCCCCTCATATAAGAACAGCAGTAAACAAACGAAGGATATTACCAGCCGCGAACGCATTAAATGCATATATGCATGTATAATCCGCGCGGGTCGTAAAAGAGTATATATTAGGCGCTGTGGGCGCAAGAGACCTTGTACGTATACGCAATATGCATGAGTGGTATACTTGATACGTCGATTGTTGGTGCTGGTGTTACACGAGCGTGTAATAACATAATTATTAAGCAGCGAAGAATAAAAGCAGCTTACCGAGGGAGGCGTCGTAAGCGCAGATGTACTCGCTGGTGCAGAATTGGGCGGTGAGGGCCGTCTTGCCGACCCCGGAAGCGCCGAGCATGCCGACCTTGTACGCGGCCGAGGGCTCGTTTGGCTCGCCGTTTTCCATTTCGGAGAGTTGGGACGCCGAGCTGGACAAACGACAGAGAACATCCTTGATATACATGCGCATTGACGTTGTAGTATGTATTGCATGAATTTTGCTCGTCTCCTGTTTGCGCGATTGCGGGTGTTTCGGACCGAAAATGTGCCCGAAGGAGATAGCTCGCTAGTGGTGCTCTAGTTTACGGATGCTCGCGAGTTTCGTTTTGGCTCGGCGCACGGAAATTAGGGCTCTATTTTTGGTACACGTATAGCGAGCATCGTGGCCAGCCCATTGAGAAATTTTACTTAAATTTTGGTCCACCGTTGGCGGTGCGAGGGTGGTTTTAATGTACCGCTTGATCCTTCCGAAACGTCTCGGTATAGATTAACAAATTTTTAATCTAAGGTATATGGTATTGCAGGGTACTTTAACAACTACATCCGAAAGTTGTATAAATAGGGCGAGTTGAAATACCCGGTGGGTACTTATATATTATATGTGCTTAATGCATGCGCGCGTCTGACCTTACGCTGATACGTTCTACTTCGGTGTGGATTACGCCGGTTTCTTCCCTCTTTCGAGCTCGGCACTAATTTCAATGAATGTCTACGGACATTAAATTTTAATACAAATGAATCAACTACTTTTACGGGTAAGGTAGTTTTTTTTTTATAATTTTCAAGCACGAATTTTATACCTTTTGAAAGCGCGAAAAAATGACCGTATCGATACGTATGCAATTGGTTTGTCTGTGTTGCATGAATATTTTTACCCATGCATCACAAGAGGCTTCAAAGAGTAAAAACTATTTTCTGTAATAATGAAAAATACAGTCGCAAAGTCGTGATTTTAGCCAAAAGGAGTCAACGAAGGAAAAAAAGAAATGCTCTCGCATAGCCAGACGAACGGTACATTTATCGATATCCGAGTGGAAGAACGTATCAAAGTAGAGTCCAGAAAACCACCTTATTTCCGATAATATTTTGTGTATGAAAAAAAAAAAAAAAAAAAAAAAAATACGTTTGGATATCAAAGTTTTGTTCTCGAGTATCTTACCGAGCGCTCATCGGTATACTACAAATAATTACATTGAAAACAGTGAGCGTATTCGCGAAAAGTTTGCACACGAGTATGATAATAATGGCAAGAGTACACGTAGCGAGACAAAAACAAACGGCATCCCTTGATCCCCTGCGAGCGCGTTGGGGCTGAAGGTGACGGTAACTCGAAATTTATATTCACGGCGGGGACGAGGAGAGTGTACACGAAAGGAAAACACGATCGACGAATCAAAAAAAAAAAAAAAAAAGAAAAGTATGGCACGACGGCCGGCGACGAAAAAAAAAAGCCCTCAATGTCACGAGCGCGTCTCGGGTACGAATGTCTTGGCGGATCTAGGGCGCGTAACAAGCGTAATCATCACGTAATAACAATCATATGGACAAACTTGAGCAGCCTGGGGTCCTTGATGTCGCGGACGCTGCTGCAGCTGGTGTTAGACGAGGTGACGCTGTTGATGCTGCGGCTGCGCCGGCTCTTGAGGGCGTCGCCGAGGTTGAAGACCCCGTTGGCGGTTATCGAGAAGGAGCGCACCCTGTAGTACTCGACCCCGTCCTCCGTCTCGTCGTCGCCGTTACCCGCGATCCCGTTGTTGCCGCCCACGGCTCCGCGCCTCGTATCCGCCAGCATTGGCTGCAACACACAAACAGTTGTACCTATACGCGTTTTTACGAGCGCGTCTCTGATAAATATTGTGACTAATAACCCATATCGTGGGGACAAATCAAGCTTATATTATATGGCTCGATCCAGGTGTTATTTGTACCCCTTTGCTCGTCTCTCAAATACTTCATAGGTGTATACTCGTATATAATTATGCGCTCTTCAACTATTTCTTTACTCGTGTATGCAACATACGTGTTACATACAAAGGATTTTCAACATTCAATATATTATTTTGTGGGTATTTTATTTCCATAAACTGCACCGACTCACTCGCGAATAGGCTATGGTTTTTACACGGTTCAGTTCTAGTTTTTGCGAAAAATTCGGCCGATCCTGGATAAGAAAAGTATCGTATGGGAAGGTGCAAAACCTCGTCACCCGCGAACAAACGCAGAGAGAGAGCGTGGCTAGGTATTGTATACACGAGGCAACCGACACATGAGCTGTCCATCATGCAAGAAGCTACCGCTACATACACGCATACTCGCGTTTAATCTATTAAGCCAATGAGCGAGCCAAGGGGTGATGGTTAGCACCGAGCACGCGTGCATAGAGTGTTTGTACCGATGGGTATATATATGCGCGTGGCTCACCTATACTCTACAGTGTAGGTATGTTCTATTATTAGGTATCTACATCTCGCAGTGGTAGCTGGCCATACCTATATACAACTTAACTTCCAGCTGTACATGGACGCCCGTGTTATTGGCTAGCCGTTTGCACTACAGGTACGAGGTACACGTGCGTAGGTCGGATGTGGGCGCGCACGTGTATGTATATACCGATGTAGGTGTAGGTAGGTATATATAATTACACGAGAGAGTTCGGCAGAGCGCGACTGCGGATGCAGGGCCGTTTGCATGTATTATTCGGAAAGAGCCTGCGGACGGAATTAATACACCCTGGCGCGTGTGCCTGCGTTATAGAGAGTGCACGGTGAAGCAATGACAATTTGGGGGAAGGGATGATTATCATCCAAAGACGAGAGAGCGGAGCTTGGGTTATATACGTTAACTTTTGCGTGTACAATAATTATGGCTGGGCGGTGGGTCGGACCGCGGCTAATTGGGTAGCGGTAACGCGATAGGTAATCCGTGCATGCCATGGGGGATGATCTTTCAACAGAGACGGATGAGTGAACCAGAGTATCCCGATGGTTTCTTACACGCCCCTCTGGCTCTCCTGCATTAGATGTTTTTTCTTTTCCTGATGAAAATTCTGTTACTCTATGTACATGGAGCTGGTTGGACGGAAGGCCCGTCATGTGGGAGTGCTTCGGTGGCTCATGGCTGTGTAAGAGCGTGTATATGGGTAAAATATACCCTTTGGTAAGATCGAGGTTAATAATTAATCGTTGTGCCACGAACAAACGAGTGGGTGCTTACGTGGCCGAGTAAATTTAATGTTGCGGAACAGCTGCCCGTCTCCTCCGGAGACAACGAGGAAGACTTTTACAAATATATATACAAGCACGTATACATCGTCCGTCGAGGTGACAAGTATACTATTTTTTTTTTTGTTTTTTTTTTTTTTTTTTTTTCATTGCGTAGGAGAGGAGCTCACCCTCCTTGTGACAAAGCTCTTCAAATTTATTTTATGGACGAGCTGAGAGCGGCTGTTTTCTTATCTATACATGTGTACGGTTCAAGGTGTCACGCAACGGAAATAAAAAAAAAGTGACAAAGCGATTCGAAAACTGAGTGGGTATATATGGAGTATATTGGTGCTTGGCCATTTGTAACCGTTGAGGGTGGAAATGTATTATTGCGAGTAATACCTTTCCCTCTATTTTATGTAGTTCAAACGGGGGG